TTAGCCCACCCGTGTCTTCCTCTCAGAGGGGTTTGTAGGGAATTCTTCTGGTTTGTAGGGCCATTTGAAGTTTAAAGGCATCTAGGCGAGATGAGAAAAAGCAAGTTAAGAAATTTAGAAGACATTGTCCTAAGGTTATGGCTATGAGTAACATTAACAGTGTTCCTGTCAATGGGAGAAGCCATTTCTAGATTACCCTCGCCCCCCCACCCCCACCCCAGCAGCCCAGGACTCGTATAGCTCCTGTCTTCTTTTTGTTGCTCGTTCAAGTAGATCCTTAGCCTTATCTCTGACAATGCCTGACTGGTTGGCATAAAAGCAGCACTCTTTAAGAAGAGGCAGATTCCACCTTTTTCTGCTGTTAGTAAGTCTAATCCTCCTGTATTCTGTAGTACTACTGTGGCGAAGGAATCATACCTTTTTCTGCTGTTAGTAAGTCTAATCCTCTTGTATTCTGTAGTACTACTGTGGCGAAGGAATCAACTTGATCCTGCAAGACGATTAGAGTCTCAGCTACTCTCTCTATATCTTCTGAAAATTCTTGGGTTAAAACTTGATAAGAGGAGATAGAGTGAGCTATTTCCCCTCCCCCTCCCCCGGCTCCTATGCCTCCCGCAACTCCAAGTGCTATTAGAAGGGGAATCACTTGCAGAGCTCTTTTATATCTAGTTACTGCTTTTAGGAGGGTTTCAAAGGATTGGTTGTTGGGTATAATAGACACATCGAGTTAGATAGGCAGGAGTGCACACTCCCATCCAGTTTGCAGGCAGGCATGAGTAAGCAGTGGTCCCACACACGTCGAAAATTCCTGCATGGGGGCACCAGGGGGAGGTGGTGTTTTCAGGCTTGAGAGTGCAGTTGCCTAGATCATCTGGGAGGCAACCTGTTGGATGTTGGCCCTGGGTACTGTCCAGTAGACCTGTCTTTTCCGTATACAGAGCTTTACTCCAGTGTAGCAGTAGCTCCCCTGGTAAGAGGAAAGACTTATAATAGTGTCATCCTGGGTCCGAGTGGTCCAGCAATTCATGATGAGGCCTTTGTTTCCTTGCTGTGGTGCAGCCGGGGAGGATTTTCAAGATCTGGGGTCACCTTCCTCTTGGACTGATGGCATAAGTCTACTGGCAGTGAATTCTCTCAACGTTTGTTTATCTGAGAAAGTCTTTATTTCTCTTGCACTCTTGAAGGATATTTTCACAGAGTACAGAACTTGAGGTTAGTGGTTTCTCTCTTCAAAAGAGAGTTCCTAGTGACTCTTGCAAAAATGAGTATTTAGTTAAAAGCCAACCCAGCCTCCAATTTAATCAGGCTAATGAAATTCTAATTTCACAGTATTATTTTTTCTGAACATTAATTCTGGGAAAATATCAAAAGGCATTCAAGCAGTTTTAAATTTCTCTTCTGATGTTTTTCACTTTTCACTACTCCTTTAGCATTTCACAACACAGAGTACTAACCACTTTACAATCACAGAGAGCTGCCGGAGCCTTTCCTTTAGCATTTCAGAGAGCTACTTTAGTCATTTTAAATGACTGTTTTGATACTCTTAAGGGACATGTACATTTCAGAAAATGGGAAAAATCAAAGTGAAGGAAAATAATACTGCAATCTATTGTCCAAGAAAGGACACTTTCGATTTAGATGCACAGCTTTCAGATAGTTTCAACTTTAAAAAATGGGATTGTTCTTGTGGTAAAGTGTGATGAATTTTTCACTTATACTCTAGGAAATTTTCTGTCAATTCAACTTAGCTTCTTACATGACAATTTAAAAAAAATAATAAGAAAACAGATGTTTAATTTGTTGATGTCTTTCACACTCAGGGTCTAAATGTGAAACCAACAAGTTCCATCCCGATCATTGCAACAAACCTGGGCAAAGCATCTACCAGAAACCAGTTTCTGCAGCACGAAAAGGTCCCACAGGAAAGAGAGGCTGCACAAAAAATTCACTCCTAAAGAAACCCAAGAAAGTGCATCCAGGGAAGAAGGCTTTAAAATGTAATGACTGTGGGAAAACCTTTAGTCAAAGCTTATCTCTTGAACTTCATCAGAATTCCCATACTGAAGAGAGACCTTATGAATGTAGTCATTGTAGAAAAGCCTTCAGACAGGTTTCATCCCTCCTCCTCCATCAGAGAATTCACAGTGGAAAGAAAAGCCACGAATGTGATGAATGTGGGGAAAGCTTCACGCAAAGAACCACGCTGCTTCTACATGAGAAAAGTCATGGTGGGAAGGGAACCTTTGACTGTGGGAAGGCCTTGAGTCCGTGTCCAACCCTCAGGATACATCAGAAAACTCTCCTTGATGAAAATGCCCACCAGTGCAGGAAACGTGGGAAATCCTTCATTCGAAGGTCATCCCTTTCACTTCATAGGAAAATCCACAAGGGAAAGAAAATCCATGAGTGCAGTAAATGTGGGAGGGGCTTCCGAAAGAAATCAGTCCTTGTTCTACATAAAAGAATTCATACTGGAGAGAAAACTAATGAGGGTGAGAAGGCCTCGAGTCAGCAAAGCAGCCACCATTTAGAGAATCCTTATAAATGTAGAAAATGTGGAAAATCTTTTAATAGGATCTCATCCATCATGCTTCATCAGAGAATTCATGCTTCGGAGAAACCCTACAAATGCCCTAAGTGTGAGAAGGTGTTCCAGCGGCTTTCAACCCTTATTCTACATCTAAAAATTCACAATGGAGAGAAACTGTACAGGTGCAATAAATGCGAGAAGGTCTGTCATCGGCATTCATCCCTTATTCAACATCAGAAAGTTCACACGAGGAAAAAGAAACTCTTTGAATGTAAGGAATGTGGGAAGATGTTTTCTGAAACTGCCAACCTTAAAATACATCAGAACATTCATTCTGAAGAGAAGCCTTTCAAATGCAACAAATGTAGTAAAGTTTTCGGCCGCCAGTCATTTCTTATTGAACATCAGAGAATTCATACTGGAGAAAAACCGTACCAGTGCGAGGAATGTGGGAAAGCCTTCAGTCACCGAATATCTCTTACGCGGCATAAGAGAATCCACACTGAAGACAGGCCGTATGAATGCGATCAGTGTGGCAAGGCCTTCAGTCAGAGCGCGCACCTTGCCCAGCACGAACGGATCCACACCGGAGAGAAACCGTACACGTGCAAGACCTGCGGGAAGGCCTTCAGTCAGCGCACGTCCCTTATTCTACACGAAAGAAGTCACACAGGAGAGAAACCCTACGAATGTAATGAGTGTGGGAAGGCCTTCAGCAGTGGCTCGGACCTCATCCGGCATCAGAGAAGTCATTCCTCAGAGAAACCCTACGAATGCAGTAAATGTGGGAAGGCATACAGCCGGAGCTCATCCCTGGTTCGACATCAGAATTCCCACTCAGAAGAAAAAGCCTAAGGGTGTTACAAAAGCAAAGACTGCGTCCCAAAGGAGCAGAGGCAGAGGCAAGGGGGAAGTGCATTGGTCTCTAACACACATTTTGTAGAAATGGGGCCGTTTGATGATGCTTCCCCCGTTGAAAGCCAAAGGGCAAAAGTCCTTGATGACTTTGACCTAAGAATCTGAAGTTAGCTGAGGGAGAGACCTTATCATAGGTCTTCATTAAGCTCAGATGGTTGGATCAGTCCTTTTTCATAAAGACAATTCTTCATTTGATAAGAATCACTGATATTTTATTCCCAATGTCATTTTCCTTTATATGTTTTGTCTTTTTAAATATATTTTTTAATTCAGAGAGGAAGGGAGAGGGAGAGAGAGAGAGAAACATCAGTGATGAAAGAGAATCATGGATCGGCTGCCTCCTGCACGCCCCATACTGAGGATCGAGCTCACAACCCAGGCATGTGCCCCTGACGGGGAATTGCACCATGACCTTCTGGTTCATAT